GACTGATTATTTATTTTATTATTTTGGCAGGACCTTGGGATTGAGGGGGAGATATGTTTTCCATAATCTAGAGTGAAGGGAGATCGCGATATACACTTTCCATAATCGAAGCTGAAGAAGCTCGAGAGATTTTACATTCCATATGCGCATTTGTCTTGGGTGAAAAGACTTCCCATAGGATGCTGAATATAAAAGGAAGGCGAGACCAGAGTTGAGGATGACTTTTGTTTTTTGAATTTTTTAGTTTCATTTTCTGTTTTCTTTTCTTGAGCGATAAGCACAATATATTAATTTTTGTAACAAAATGTTCGGAGGTTTATTCTGATTTAGTTTGAGGGATTCGAACTAAAAAATCCACAAGGGAGTTGTGGTCAGATAAGTAGTTGTGTGAATCAGTATTCAAGTAGAGTGTAGAGGGAGTCTATACTGTAAACCCTTGGATGATGTATGAGTTGTTCACATTAATGAAAGAGATCTGAAGGGAGAGTGGGACGCTCTCCTGAAGGTTCAATTTTTGGTGAAAGCTGCTTCCGCAACTGTTTGAATATTCATTACTATTTGTTAGTCTATTTTTGTGCAACTCTGGATACTTGGTGTTCAAGTATCAAATTTCAATTGGCACCAGAGCGGGTTTTCGTCTTCATTACGAAAGATCCTAGGATGTCTGTTCCCTCAAATCATGAATTAAGAAAGCGGATTGACGTCCAGGCCTCCGCAATTGGACGGTTCGAACTACTCATATTGGAAGTCTATGATGACAATCTTTTTGAGATCGCTTGGAAAAGGCGTGTGGGAGAGTGTTGAAAATGGCTGGGAGCATCCTGTTATGCAACAAGCACCCAATCAAGGTAAAGAAACAACAACGAAAGTCACGGTTTCTAAACCTAAGGACAACTGGACTGATGCTGAGAAGCTTTAAGAAGAAGCTAACTATCGTGCCTTATATGCGATCATGATGGCAGTTGATCATACAAGACACAAGATGATAGTACATTGCAAAACTGCTAAAGATGCTTGGAGGGTCTTACAACGTCAATTTGAAGGTTCAACGGTTGTCAAAACATCCAGACTTCTACAGGTAACTCTTGAATTTGATGAGATCAAAATGAGAGATGAAGAGACAATTGACGTATACTCTGCCAGATTTTGTGATCTGGTAAACCAAAGCATGATGCTTGGAGAAGAAATCGCTGAAAAACGTCAAGTCCAGAAGATTATGAGAACCATTGTTCCCAAGTTTAGAGAGAAAATTACGGCTCTTGAAAGTTTTCAAAGAGTGGCGTCATTAGATGTTGATGAACTTCTTGGAGAGCTCAGAACTTTTGAAATCAACAACAACTATGACAAAGTGAAGAGTAAAGGCTTAGCTCTTAAAGCTGTTGTAGTCGAGGAAAGAGAAGAAAGCGATGATGATGAAGGTCCGTTGGCAGATGACAGTGAGCTGAAGGAAGCACTAGCCTTAATCGCGCGAAACTATGGAAAGATAAGTCAAAGGCTGTACAAGAACAAATTTTCTGGAAAAAAAGGGGAACAATTTCAGCAAGAATGTAGTGCAGGACAAGAAAAGTGCTATACCACTCTCAAAATCTGATTCACAACGAGTCGAGAATGATCAATGCAGGAAGTGTCGAGGCTTTGGACACTTCCAGTTTGAGTGTGCTAATCTCAAGAAGAAGAATAAGTCACTGAAGGCAACCTGGGAAGACTCAGATGAAGAGGGCACGGACGAACCTTCGTTGCACACAAGCAATCTGGTTGTTCATACCTCTGTCAAGAAGTTTATGTGTCTCACCACTTCTCATTCTCTGACCAAGTTTGAAGAAAGTTTGAAAGAAACTGAAGCATCTGAGGATGAATCAGATCAAATTGTGTGTGTAGATCCAGTTCACTTGTTTGCTATGGAAAAGTGCGCTCAAGCATCTGAGGCTCTTCAAAATGAAGTGTTTAGACTTTCTAGGGAAAACAGGATGCTGAACGAACAAGCATCCGCCTCCACTGCTACTAAAGAGTGTGAACTGGATACTGCTAAGGCACGAACATTCATCCTAGAGAGCAGTGTCAAACTTGCTAAACAAGACGGACTGGAGAAGGCTCAGGCCATTGAATGCTGGAGGAATGAACTATTCTCTACTCATAAACTTCTTGCCGAGTGGAACCAGGAAATTGTTCTACTAAAAAATGAAGCTGAGCGGATGATGAACGAACATGCTAGCATGGAAAGAAAACTGAAGTCAAACTCTGCTGAGTTGAACCGAACTACAGAAGTTGTAATATCTCGTCATGTTATTAATATAATCTTATGCTTGGTTCCGAAATATTTATTTTATTAAGTGTTATAGTTCAGAACTATTTATCCAAGTTAAGAATGTTCGTTCCAAGAAAAGCAAGAAGCGCGAGATGAGGAGCAAGGAGGAGAGCGCGGTGAAGGAGCCGCTGGATCTCATTCGCCTCAGCCTAGACGAGCGTATCTATGTCAAGCTCTGCCATGACCGGGAGCTTCGCGGCAAGCTTCATGCTTACGATCAACATTTAAACATGATACTGGGTGATGTTGAGGAAATCGTTACAACTGTGGAGATCGATGATGAGACATATGAAGAAATTGTGAGGACCACGAGACGCACGGTACCTTTCCTGTTCGTTAGAGGGGATGGAGTCATATTGGTTTCACCTCCCTTGAGAACAGCTTAATATGCAGAGGATCTGATGACAAAGCAATGGAAGAAAGTTTTTGTTCTGAATTCTGTAGACACCCGTATTCTTGTATGCTTGATTCACTCTTCGGCTTAATTCCATGTATTATTAGTTTGGGAGATTGATTGCTTTGGTCACTACCCATTGGAAGCTGTTACTATTGTTCTTGAACATTGTGGTGAATTCAGGTGGGGATGAACAATTGAACTGGATTTGCTTGTCATTGGAAGAAAATGCTTAGAGACAACAAACGTTTTAATATTATTTCATTTCTATCTTACCAAAAAAAAAAAAAATTAAGAATGTTCGAATTAATTTTCGAATGTCACGGTTATGTTCGGAATAATTTTTCGATAATTAATTCATGTTTAATCGCTCGATAAATATTATACTGAGCTTAATCATGCTTAATTAAGGTATTAGTTATCTTGTATTACCAAGAAGTCATGTTAATTATGTTAAACCTAACCCTAAGCAAAGGGTTAATGCACGACCAAGTGTGTTTATGCTTAACATTAGCATGGTTGTACTTAGTACTTGCGCAAGTGCGCTTAGCACACGCTTAGCACGCCTAAGCCACGCTTAGTTCAATTAATAACCGAGA